CCACGATATAAAAGTAAGCGCATATATCAAACAAGAAAACATTGATGTAACCATCAATTGTCGCCCGGGAAATAAATAAAGTAAACAATGGAAATGAGTCTTGATCATCAAACCGCTTCGATGGCATGCGTCTAAAGGATGGAAACGATAGTCGAGATACTTTGAAAACTTATAGTCGGATGAAAATCGAACAAAAACGATACCCTTTTAAACTTTATCAATTCCTCAAGTAAATGTTGGCTGCATAAAATATAATTTGAAACCAGACACATGCATCACCTATTTTCAAAAATGTCTTTCACTTAAAGAATATAAAACACGAACTGTGTAAAGTACTTTTTTACGTTTTTATGCGATAAGTAAAATTCGATGTTCTAAAAAAAGGGACCTGTCGTTTTTTCGATAGTAAATGATAAGCAACTTTATATATTAAATATGAAAAACATATATATTTTTACAGATTCACTTTATGGAATTAAATATCTTGTGTATCTCGTAATTTATAAAGGGAAAGAACATTCTGATTAACAATCTTTTTAATGTTTAGAAAACCTTGAATTCTGAATAACTTCTCCCACCTCAATCCCCATATGCCAACACCATTCGGCAAACCTCGGCTGATTCCGTCACCTTCATCAAACCTCGGTTGTACGAGGAAACTTGATATGCGTCTCCGCTTAACATTTGTGATAAGGCTGCCTGTTTACAGCTTAGGGAAAACGTAACGCTTTGAAAACGATAATAAACAAGCATCTGACATACGATAAAATTTTTCAAAAGCAGTAAGGTAACACTAAGAATAACACTTACAAAGAAAATAGCACTTAGTATCTTTACATAATCACATGTTTTTTAGCGGATCGAATTCAGCACACTGTGCACATGTAATTATAGGGCGCAGCCATATTGCGTATAAAGTAGCTCCGGTTCAATGGAGGTTTACATGATACAGCCGAGGTTAGATGAGGTACGAATCGGCCGAGGTGTGCCGAGTGATGCCAACACTTAAACTTATATCTATAGAGCAGCCCGGTCCTCCGGGCTGCAATGAGCTATTCTGACTACTAGATTAAATGGTATAAATTTGAAGCAGATTGTCAAAATCAGGTTTACTTATTTTTTGTAGGTTTTTTGTGAATTTCAACCCTAGGGCAGGGGTGCCCCTAAAAAAATCCTATCTTAAATTACTCCTTACATCCCAACCTATCAAAATATCACAATTTTATTTAGGGGCAGGCCTGCCCTGAAGGACTTCTAGGCCAAAATTTATGCAAAAATCAACGCTTTAACGGACAAAATGGTGTTTCGGCCAACTTTGGAGGTTTATTGTAAAGTTGTAAATAATAAATTTTAGTTGTAAAATACAAATTTGAAAAATTAAGACATATATACGGCAGAAAACAACAAATAAAGATTGATTTTTAAATGTCACTTTTTCCGGGAAATTGTTCTCTCCTATAGGTCAATTCTTTTGTAATAGTGAATACATCCTTTCATACGTGATGCATGCAATATAAGAAAATCTATGTGACTATATTTGTTTACTGTATGTATGACTTGCGCACATGTGGTTTTTGTCAAATAAATTAAATAAATAAAAATTTAATTATCTTGGGAAAAAAAAATATTCCTCAGTCTACCCACCTTGCATTTTTCCAGCAAGCGAGAGACTATAAATGAAGGGTTAAGGGGGCGACCATTTAATTCTGAGGGTGTACTCTAAGGAAAGTCTTTCTAATTGCTGGCTACAAAATAAACATATGTTAAACAAACTGTTAAAGCTAGGACTGATTATTGTAATACAATGTATATGTATGAACAATGAAACTTTTCCGTAAATATCCGAAGAAAATGACAATGTATTGCAAGAAAAAGAATGCAGAGTTATGCAGAGAAGAATATTGGATAAAGTAATATAAAATTAATAATATGCTGTTTGATCAATTATTATTATTAAAAACAAAAAATAAAACTTGGAAGATTAGAAATCCCGCGAGAATGAGAGTTCTAACCATGTGACTTGCTCTGGCGTACAACCAGATCACGTGACACATTTTATCGCCATGATGGACAGTTGAATTTTTTGCATCTAAAAAGCTTTATTTGTAAGTATTAATACATGTAGGAAAACTTTTCAACATTAGCACAGTATGATATTTCGTTTTATATTTTCATTCAATGACTTAACATTTTCGGACATAACACTGTCCTGTACATAAACATGCGCGCCAAGGTTTGTGTTGCGCGTCTCGTCAATAACAACACGCGGTATCGAAGATTGTTTAATCTGTATATAAGAACAGACTAGAAAAAACTACTGTTACCATAAGGATGTTATATTACAATTTTTATATGGTGTGTGAAAATACATCTTAAGCAATGATATGCATCAACATTACATATCATATTACAACTTCTGAATATGGAAATCCGGTGCCACGGTCACATGATGCATATTAAAAAGAACATGCACCGAAAATTTTCATCTGTTCAGTTCAGTGAAGATACTTAATGCGGTATTTTAGTATATCGACGAACTATTCACTTACACACATGATGATGTTTTCCTCAAAATATTTTAAAGATTACTGGCAGTTACATTTACATTTTTTTTAAATTTTATTAAAATGAGTTATGATATATATAATAACTAGGACTATTGCCCATTCATTTCATTCTTTAACTTAATCTTAATGGGCCTCTTGTTGGTTTTGATGAAGGCTGGCATTTTATAATATGCATTCTTCATTTTTTTTTTTTTTTTATTAAATACACATTTAATCAAAACCTTTTTTGTAATTATAAATACCTGGTACATGTACATAGTGGATATACTGCTATTTTTATTTTTTTCCAATTATATAGGAAATATCTTTACTCTTAACATTTCATAATACAGCACTTGTTTTTAACTTAGGCCATTTTTTTTAATTAGTTGTTTTACGGGGTTTTTTTTTATTGAAAATGTCCATTGGGTGGCTACAAAAAAAAAAACAAAAAAAAAACAGCAAGTGCTCAATGTTCAAAACTTTTAATATGCAGCATACGATGCAGGTGGGAAACATAAAACGGAAATGTTTATTTCTTTATTTTCTTGGCATTTCTCACTGAAGGAGGAGATTCCTCCAAGCAGGAAAGACATATAATATTGGGCATACAATGCTAAACTTTTCCGTGTATGACTGGATATGGGGGTTCTCCCCCCTGCCACGTCCAAGTCACCACAGGAAAAATGCACTTCAGCAAATTTGCACAAACTCCTGCAAAATAATAAAAGTTTAATCAAATTCAGGTAGTACCTATTCAAAAACAGTATATTAACAAGAAAAATACTTAAATCAGTACACCTTCATAGGACACAAATAAACTTACCAGAATAATAAGTCGTTTCCATAGGGTTTGCACATTCCTGTGACTCTAGTACAAAAACAGTGGCAAAGTATTTGGACCCAAATGGAAAAAGGGTTGATCCACACACATAATCCAAGGTGCCCTGGACTTTTTCAATTTCCCTAGTTTGGTAGATTCATACCTGTACAATGACAACAAATTTCTTTATTTCTACTCAATTGACCAAGCCATGCGTTAGCATAGCGAACGCATAGCTCATGGCTTGGTCAATCGAGTGATTTTTATTGACTTTATTGATAAAATTGCGAACTCCTGTGCTTTAATTATTGACAACGTAAGTTTTGCAGAGTTTTGAAATACAGTTGAACATGTGCTTTTAACTAACCTTTAGATCTAATGGTTACTGTTAAAAACTTTGTGCCAAAACCTCTAAGAATAGACACAGGGGTGTCGGATGGAGTGCAAGTGCCAGCATCAGGTTCGTTGGTTTTGGCTGTAATTTCCTCCACCAGCACATTCCATTCGCCGATAACACCGTATATAGTATTGCCAATGGTCTGACCATCTTTACTTCTCATAAAAACCGTCCTACATTTACTACTGTCCTTAAAACATATGAAATTCTGTTTTGAAATAAATGTTTCACTTTCACAGGCCATGCTTATTCATCTCAAACTATAAAACGCTTGAATGAGTTCCTTAAAAAGGTCGATAGTTTAAGCGTTTACATTATTTTGATCACGAGTATGTAAAATTCAAACCACGTACGATCATTTCCGGATTTTTTTGTTATGATTGAAGTAGAATTCGGTCGGCAGTAATAAAAAAAGGATTGAACTGAATTTTTATTTTTTTCCCCAAACTACAAAAAAATGGGGTCGGCGGATCCGTAAAACAACTAATAAAAAATTTTGGCCTTAAGAGAATCAGATGAATTTAATTTTTGAGAATTCATGAGGACATGAACTACGACGCTTCACGCTGGCATATTTTATGAAGTTGGTTAGTGCTTCATGATAAATATGCAGGCATGAAGCATTGTAGTTCATGTACCTCATGAATTCTCAAAAATTAAATTCATATCTTATATTTACATTATTTACTGATGACTTGCCACATATTTTTGTCATTCAACAATCTTTTTTTTTTTTTTTTAAAAAGTTTGCACTATTTTTTTACTTTAGTCACATCACAATAGAAATATTCTTACTCATCCCACGGTAGTTCATGAGAACATGTACTTAGTCTAATTTGCAAAGAATCTTAAGGAAGAATATTTGGAAATGTAAATATTTCTTTTTAAAGTTGTATATTCTCCCATTATCATCCACCATAGATGCACATCCTAAAGCGAGAGCCTTGCTGACTAATCAGTTTTCTAGTTTTGTGGAGTGTCCATCTATTTGTCTGCCTGTCAACACTTTTGTATTAATGTGATAACTCATGTAGAAGTTCTAGGCATATATAAATGATTTTTTCAGGCCACTTTTGTTACGTGGTACATGTATATTGTGTTCTAAACAGTTGTCACTTTCTTATGACAGCCCTAAGTGGGGTCCTCTCTGACTGTATCAGTTTTCTAGTTGTATATGAACCCATACATTGCATTTATTTGAGGAAAATTCCTAAAATTACTTTTAATGTTTCAGAAAAAATGGAATCTCACCAAGTTGAATCTCGTATGGCATCATGACAGAAGTGGTTAAGAAATCAGGAGTAGTCCAGAAGCCTTGCAGCAGCCCTAATAGTAAAAGAATCCCCCAGAATGTCACCATCAAGAGGTCTGATGAAATTATTGCCATGGCAGCCCTGTCTTCCATTGGAAATGTTGCCACAGCTTCCATCGACAGGAGCCACACACAGGAATCAGCAGACACTGCCTCGAATACCTCAAAAACCAATCAGTCAAATGATTTAAAAACTGAAGAACCTGTCCCCAATGTCATTTATGTGTATGATGGTTCAAAACTCCCACAGATACATGGAAGGATTGAGAAAGCAAGTATTTCAGGAGTGTATCCCACTCCTCATAATATAACAGTACTCAAAGATGGAGATGGGATTGGCATCAGTAGTGATCCTCAGGTTATCACACCCATAGCCAATCAGATGGTGGTTAGCAAAGAAGTCTTCAAATGTGGAGAGTGCAAGTATTCTACCCACAATCGTAGCTACCTGAAGCAGCATGTAGATCTGATCCACAATGCTGTTAGGCTGTACAAGTGTCCGTTCTGTGACTATGCTGGAAAGAGGAGTCATTCACTAAGAGAGCACCTGATTGTTCACTCCAACGAAAGGCCATTCACGTGTCCTCATTGTAATGCCACTTTCCGCAAGAAAGGCCATTTGACAAATCATGAAAAACTGCATAAGAAATCAGTGAAATGTCCCATTTGCACAGAATGGTTTCAGAGTTCTGAAATTGAGAAACACATGTTGGAAAAGCATAATGCAAGAAAATTTTTACTGTGTGACATCTGCAAATTCATGGCACTGGATGTACCCACCTTTAATAAGCACATGGAATCTCACCACACAACAGACGTCCAGAAGAAGCAGATAGTTTGCAGCAGCTGTAAGACTATGTGTCCTGACTATGATTCTTTTTTAGAACATGCCAAACTTCATGAAAATGAACTTGAAGAAGAACCAAAACAAGATATGTCTAATACACCAAAAAATGTCATGATCAAGTGCTCCGAGTGTGGGATAGTGACCTCAGATCAGGAATCTATGAGGGCACACATGTGGGTGCATATCAATCCATCTCTTAAAAAGGAAATAATGGTTCCTGAGGTACCTGAGAAAACTATCAAGCATACTGCCTATAAGTGCCTGGATTGTGACTTTACGTGTGAAGAAGCCAAAGTATTTGTTGCTCACATGGTGCAACACAAACCAGATCTACAGAACATTATGTCCGAGCCAAAGAAATCTCACACAGTTTTAACCAATGAATCTCAAATATCTGCAGAAAAATCACCCACAAAAGTAATTTCTGAGAGTAGTGAAGAGGATATTGTTATACTGTCTGGTTCAAGTCCAGCAACAAAACAACAGATTGAAAAATACCTTGCAGAAAAGTTTTCAAGACCTACTGTTGAAAAAGAGGCAGTTATTAATATACACCCAGTGATTCAGCAAGTGGTTTCAAAGCAAGTTCCCCAAGGCAGCCAAAGTAATGTAGAACATTTACCATTTGTGCATGACCAGTCAAATGCCAAATTTCGGTGCACAATTTGTGGATATACCTGTGACCACCAGAGAACAATTAAAGCACACATCTGGAAACATTCTGGAAATAAAGACATTGAGTATCCAATGTTCAGGAATGGTCCTCTAAGTGTTTATGAAGATATGAGTGTTTCAGCAGTCATGAAAGAGTATGTTTTGCCAGCAGAAAAGTTACCTGCAAGTGGATCTGAACCTGACCTGACAAACACAGTCAGGGAGAAACAAGTGAAAATGGCAGTTAGTCCGGTTGCCCCAGCATTGGCCAGTATGCTTGCTCAGAGAGCAAAACAGAAACCGGAAGAAATTAGCAAGAATTTACCTCAGCCAGAAAAGCAGAGAAACAAAGTGAAAAATGTGGACTTGAATGTCCGAAATATACCAGGAACAGACTACTATGAGATTAACATTTGTACAAAAAATCCAGAAAAAATGGAGGTAAGCATTGAACAGAAACAGGACATTGTTCAAAAAACATACAATTTTGAAGATGTTGAAATGCATGAAACTACCAAACAAGGTGTTGTTGATTCTAGGCCAGTAGTGGTGGAAAGTGTGGACACATTATCATCTTTATCAACATACACAGGAATGAGAAGTGGTGAGAACAGTCCAAAGTCCACAGTCCCTGAAGATGCCATGAGTGAAGACCAAGATTCAGGTGTTGTCTTGGACTCTTCTTCACAGGTGGAAGCAGATGCTATGAACTCCAACCTGACAGAAAATAGAAAGATCAGCAAGACAATGGAGATATTCCACCACTGTTCAGATGAGCTGCAGACGGTGGAGTGTGTGGTTTCAAGTGGAGATAACCTTAGAAGTGGAAATGGGGATGATGAAGGTGTAACAGAAGATGAAAGATTGGAGGATATAGAGGAAAATGCAGCAAGAGAATCATCCTCCAAGAGAACAAGAACCACTTCTGTAACAACAGAATCAGCTGTGACACTCCTCTCATTGCTTCAAAAAGGCCCCAATAACAACCCAGCTTGTCCAGTGAAAGAGGATAGCCAAAGTGATGGACAACCAAAGGTCAAAGTGAAAGCAGCTGAAAGTGAAGGCTCCAAAAAAGGTGGCATATCCTCATCATTATTGGCTGTTATTGAACAGCTCAGAGAAAGATCCAAAGAACGAGAATCACTGGAGGATGATTCAATGCTTCCACAAAAGCGAGGCACAAAACGGAAAATCAAAAGGGAATCTGAAGAAGATATTAGTGTATTGGAAAGTATGGATAATGTTGAAAAGACAGAAGACTCAAAATATAGATGCAAACTCTGCCACTATTCTCATTTGGACTCTTTCATGATAAGACAACACATGAGGCTTCACAAGGAAAAGAAACCATTTGAGTGTTCTCTGTGTGAGTTCATTGCAGTTTCAAGTGAAGATCTACAAGACCACATGATAAAACATTGCAAAGTTAGAACCTACCAATGCAAATTATGCAGCTCAGCATTTAACTACAAGAGTCAACTGCGTGCTCATATGCGTGCCCATAATGATAAAGACATATTTGTTTGTGACGATTGTGATTATGAAAGCAACAATCCAGTGGCCTATCGGAATCATGTGCGAGGGCATGCAGAAAAGAAATTGTACAAATGTGAAGTCTGTGAAAATCGTTTTGTTTCAAAGCATGATCTACGAACTCATAAAAAGCTATTATGTGGCAAGAACAGATCATTTAGTTGTGATGAGTGTGATTTTGTTGCAATAGGTCCACAAGAACAACGCACTCATGCTAAGGTACACAACAAAGAATTCAAGTGTGCAAAGTGCGAGTATGTTACAACTAGCATTACCCGGTTTCAGAGCCATACAAAAACTCATGACGAGGAACCAAAATCTCTGAAGTGTGAGCTTTGTGACTTCCCTGCAGTTTCCAGTAGAAGTTTGAAGTCTCACATGAAACGTCACATCAATGACCAACGCTTTGTTCAGCAACCTCTGGAGCAGTACAAATGTAACTTGTGTGGCTATGTTTGCCACCACCTGCCTTCCCTGAAGTCACATATGTGGCGTCACGCCAGTGATACAAACTATAGCTACGAGTTCACCAATGAAGTGATCAATGCAGCAATTGACTATGATTGTCAAATAGGCAACCGAGATTGCCAAGAAATTGACATAGCAGCATTCTTTAACACCATAAGACAGAAACTGAAAGAGAGGCTAAGAAAGGAGAAGACGGAGACCGATAATGAGCGTGCAAACCAAGCTGTTTGCTGGGTGACATTTCGATGTTGTCAGTGCGGCTTTGAAACAATCAATAAAGCAGAACTGAACTTGCACATGAAAAGTCATTCTGATGTCATTCAGTGGACTCTTCAAGTGCCGAAAGAAGATGTCAAGAAATTATGACTGTTCCAAACTGAAACAGACACATGTATTGATAGTTGAAATATCTTTTATCAAAACTTGATAGATACGGGTAATTGTGGTGTTTTCGTGAATCAGGGAACCATGGTATTGTAGTAAGAAAGAGTTTTGAAAATGTGTACAGTGTAAAATGTAGATTTAAAGTTTGTTGATTAGTAATAATATCTAGGGGGCTGGGATCTTGATTGGAGATTTTTGACAGCAGCAACATATGAGGAAGTTGACATAAATTTATATTTCTAATAAACATCCTTGTTCTAATAAGCATCCTTGTTAAGGTTTCTGTGTATTAGTATCTGTCATTGTTACATGGTTTCCGTTTTGGAATTATCTTCATGCATATCTTAAATAGGAAATATATACTAATCGTGGAAACTAGATGTGTTCCTACTTCTTAGTATCACAAATCTTCCGGTAATCATTATCAAATCCTTTATGATTAAATGTTAACTGTAGGGATGAATGGAATAGATCTCTTGCTCTGTTTGTTTTATCATATTTGTTTGTTTTTTTTGTTTGTTTTTTTTAAGATTACTATGTTCTGTTTGAGGTTGTGAATCTGTGATGTGGTGTATGTTTATAACACTTAATGAAAAGTGGGGGACTGGGAAGGGGGGGGGGGTGTAATTCAGTGTATTATGTAAATGATGAAACAATGCCTTTCACATGACATTGATCAGCTGTTATGCTTTCCCCACATCACTTACATTTTATCAGTTTCAAGAATTCCTGTTGCACATGAAATTTTTTTCAAGAAAAACTAGCACTGGGGCATGTGCAGTCACTACAAGTAGTTATGGAGATATTGATAAAAATCGGCCTTGATTGAATCTCATTTGTTTTTGCTATATATGTTAACTTTTACTATTTTTATATTTCAAGTATTTTTGATTGTGCAGCTATTGAAGGTAATTAAATACAATGTAGATTGGGGCCTACATTTTACATGTATATTAACTTGATTCTCTGTTTCCTGTTTTGTCCATTATGTGTAGTTTTCAAAAGTAATCCTTATTTTATGTAATTGAACTTGAATAGATTATTGGAAAGGTGTGAAATATTTTAGGACTTTGTTTAATACAGAATGCATTTGTTAGTGCTTATATTTATAGCATGTTCCTTAATCTGTAGAGGACTTTGCTTTTAGATTTGATGAAATAAATTGATTGTAAGATTTCTTTTATTTATGTAATTGATATTATAGGAAATTTAAAAAACAAACAATGAAAAAACAAAACAAAATTGATTATTGTTTAAAATCTTTTCAGAGTATTTTCAGGTCACCTGAGTCACTCAGGTGACTTTTTGCTGTCTGTTTTTGTTGTGTGTTAACATTTGAACTTTTTTAGTTTCTTCTCTGGAACCACTAAACCAATTTCAACCATTTTTGGTAAATAGCATCTATGGATAAAAGGAAACAAAAATTCTGAATTTAATGGCCCAGGGTTGAGGGGTTCCAGTGTTTGAATGGGGCTCTATAGTATCAATTATTTGGTGAAAGTTGCATTTATTATTTGAAAATCTTCTTCTCTGCTCCTGGGTATTTACCAGATAAACTTGGTGTATAGTCACGATGATCAAGGGCGCCTCATCCAAAATTGCAATTTCGTGCCCCCTGGGTCAGAGGTTCTAGTGTTAGGGGGGGTTTTATCGATTATATAGTGAAAATTGCATTAATTCTTTGACAATCTTCTCTGCTTCTGGGTATTAAATTTAGTGCATAGTTATGATGATCAAGGGTGTTTTTCAAAAATTGTTAATTGCATGGACCCAGGTTCTGGTGTTAGGGTGGAGCTCAATTGTTTATATAGAGAAAATTGCTTTAATTCTTTGAAAATCTCTGCTCAAGGGTATTTAGCAGATAAACTTGGTACATTATTATGATGAGCAAGAATGCTTCTTCCAAAATTGTGATATCTGTGGCCCCAGGGTCAAGGGTTCTGGTGTTAGGAAAAGGGGGAGTTTTATAGATCATATAGTGAAAATCATTAATTGTTTGAAATTTTTTTTCTGCTCCTAGACATTTAGCAAACAATTAAACTGAACAGCTATGATGAGCAAAAGTGCCTCTTCTAGATTGTGAATTCATGGCCTCTGGTTAGGGTGGGGCTCTATTGATTTTAAAGTGAAAATGCATTAATTTTTCCAAAATCTTTTTCTTTGCTCCTGGGTATTTATTAGATAAAATAAGTGCATAATTGTAATGGGCAAGGGTACTTCTTCCAAAATTGTGAATTTCATGACCTCTGGGTCAGGGGTTCTGGTGTTGCACTATTGATTATATAGTGAAAATGCATTATTTCTTTGAAAATCTTCTCTGCTCCTGGGCATCTAGGAGGCAAACAAGGTACAAAGTTGTAATAAGCAAGGGTAGTTTAACCAGATTTTTGAAATTCTTGACCACTTGTGTTCCGGACATGGGCAAGTTCTATTAATATGTACATGTAACAGATCAACCTATGAGAAGAAGAGAAAAGACATTTGTTGCATTACTTGTACTTGAGTGTGTGTGTAAATGAGGGAGTGAGGTGGGAGGGAGTGCTCTAGCTGTCTACAGGCACCTGTGATAATGCATCCAAAAATGGGACTGATGTTGTGCCTTAGCTAAGTACAACAGGAAACTGTATGACTGGACTAGGAATCGAACCCGGAAACCCTGTATCACTAGGCAGGTGCTCTAACCACTGAGCTACCCAGGATGATATCCACTGACTAAATCAGTACACTCCTCAAAACCCAAGTTCTTTTTACCCCTGGTAGGACTTTCACCTGCAAGTCTAGGGATGGTCAACGGCAACAAATTGTTTAAGGGAAAGGAGAAAATGCATAGCTGAACAGGGAATCAAACCCAGGACCCCTGTAGGTGCTCTAAACACTGAGCTACCTATTCTGATATCAACGGCCCAAACCATTACATAAGGAATGAAACCCAAGATTGAGGTTAAAATTTTCCACGTACGCTAATAAAAAAAAAAAAACAACAAATAAATAAAAACTAGGTTCCTCGTTAATATATGTTAATGAACAAATTGATTATCTCTCAGACTTTTTGGTTTCGGATTGCTGTTCCTGACTTAACTTTTTGAAATCAGGAAAAAGGAATGAATCGAAACTTTAATTGTTCTTATGTGCTGTGACATGTTTATAAATATACGCTTAAATTCTATTCATTTAAATAATTTCTCTTCTTTTTTGGGGTAGGGTGGGGGTGAATTTGGGTCAATGTTGTGAAAAACATAGGCGTATCATCCGTCAACCTCTCAGATATTTTCCCTCCTGTACCCGACAGAGTGGCAGTTAGTTCAGTAAAACTGTATTAATGACCTTATTGTTTCACTAAGACGAGATCATGTTAACTGACAGCCTTTTGACAAATGATCATTTTGACTCCTTTGTAATAACTTGGACCGTTATAAATATTATGGTTACTACGATTTCCCCCTGCACTAAATAAGTTTGCACTTACATAACACTATAAATTTATCTTTCACATATTAAATGCAGTATCAACAATATTAAATGCAGCTTAATGCATGTCCGGTGGTCGTTATTGTGGTAAAGGTGTCTCATAAAAGACAATGGAAGATAAGTGTTTTATGTAAAGGAGAAAGGCCTCAAACTGTCCATTCTGTGAGAGAAAGAACTAATCGAGGGCCGTAGGCCCGAGATTAGTTCTTTCTCTCACAGAATGGACAGTTTGAGGCCTTTCTCCTACTTAAAACATGATTTCCTTTGTTTTGAAAATTAAATATAAAATGTACAAAATGACAGGTAGCACACATATACACAATGGCAAGTTCATTGTTTACGGAATGGACAGTCACAGGTAAGCTAGGGATGCAGAGCAATTTGTTGAATAAGCCATTGTGTTTCCAGATGCAAAAACAAAAGGTTTTTGTCTTAAGAATGGACAGTTACAGGTGGATTTTGCGGTATACTAGTATTTATACAAGTATGCGATGCTTCAAAATCAGTTTACAGTTTGCGTTGTAAAGGTATACATGTTTTCCTGTGATGGAGAGAGTATATGACAGAATCAATATCTTATAAACCAAAATATGCACAAAATTAGAGATATTTGGATCTGGAAACAGAAAAGGAAGATTAAAAGAAATATTAGCCAAATTTTGACCCAAAATGAACTTCGACAACAGAAACAGATGATCAAATTCAAATCAATCCTGGAAATGTTTTATTTGAATTCTATTTCTGAGGATATATTAACTGCAGCAGTGTAATGGTGAGATGCAAATTGTGTTCTGAGTGTTGGATTAGCCATGAGCCAATCTTCGACCTGAAATGTTTTTCAAATCAAATCGGGAAATGTTTCATTTTTATTTATTTTCTATCGTAATTAATATTGACTGCAGCAGTGCAGTGTTCATAGTGCAAACTGTTTTCTGGGTGGAGGATTTAATATTAGACGCACTTCTATCTGAAAATAAATTCTACTCGAGGGAATGATTTTTCCGAAATTTAAATCAAATGTGAAATTGTGTCATTTAAATTCAAGTTTTGTGAAAATTAAGTTTTGGGTATTGAAATAGTGTGCATCATTCATGGATTTAAAAGAGTAAAATCGAATGGATGCTGTGTAGACATTGTGTTCTGGATTAACTTTGGTCTCCGCGTTCTTTTTGTTATTTACATGTAAATTAAAAAGTATTTAATATATTTGTTTTTGTTTCCCTCTTGAACACATTCCAAAGTTTACCTGTAACTCTCCATTCTGTTTGTTTTAACTGTCCATTCTTTTTGAAAAAACTGTCCATTCTTAAAAGAATGGACAGTTTTCCGAAAAGAATGGACACTTACAGGTAACTTAATGGATTGTTTGAGGAGTTAGCTCAACATTAAGCTATAGAATCGACAACACAAACAAAAGGTTTACGTCACAATCATGTTTTAATTAAAAAGAAATGGTAGGTATAATTTATTAATATCAAACTGGTATCAGACAAAATGTTCCCTCCAGCTTTGTTACTTCTCTTTGTAACTTTTGCTTATACTGGTAAGTACTTATACTGGTTATACTTATACTGGTAAGTACTTATACTGGTTATACTTATACTGGTAAGTACTTATACTGGTTATACTTATGCTGGTAAGTACTTATACTGGTTATACTTATGCTGGTAAGTACTTATACTGGTTATACTTATACTGGTAAGTACTTATACTGGTTATACTTATACTGGTTATACTTATACTGGTAAGTACTTATACTGGTTATACTTATACTGGTAAGTACTTATACTGGTTATACTTATACTGGTTATACTTATACTGGTTATACTTATACTGGTAAGTACTTATACTGGTTATACTTATACTGGTAAGTACTTATACTGGTTATACTTATACTGGTTATACTTATACTGGTAAGTACTTATACTGGTTATACTTATACTGGTTATACTTATACTGGTAAGTACTTATACTGGTTATACTTATACTGGTTATACTTATACTGGTTATACTTATACTGGTAAGTACTTATACTGGTAAGTACTTATACTGGTTATACTTATACTGGTAAGTACTTATACTGGTTATACTTATACTGGTAAGTACTTATACTGGTTATACTTATACTGGTAAGTA